TCTAGTGCTGAGGTCTCTCCACGGATGTCCACCAACACCAGCAGAGATGGATTGGCTGAGGCCCTTGTTTATACCAAAGATTTCCAGATCTCTCTTGAGAACTACTGACTTTGAATCACTGGGGAGACATCCAAAGGATGAATTTTACAAATAAGTACTTTGTGAATGTCTGCTGCACTTGAAGTCTGAGAAGCATGACTTTAATATTAAGAGGACATGAGAGAATGTATTTGTATTTTGCAATATGAAAGTCCTTATCTCAGTTTTACTTGTTAAAATATTATATATGATGTGGTGTAAAAAATGTATCTATAGTTCTTGAAGAGTAGTGATCTGATGAGAACACATGTATACCACATATACACAAATACACATAAACACATATGCCAAGTTACAAATAAAGCATAGAATGTGCTTGAAGATTTTCTAAGTCACATCACCTTTCCCGTCCCAGTGGTAACCATTCTGATGAATTCTACTTTTATCATTTGTTTGATGTTCTGCTAGGCTGAATTCTATGAAATTGCTAGTATTTGATCATGTTTGTTCCACACGCTAGCATTTTCATAGGATTCCCCTGAATCTTTTTATGACACCAGTATACATCCCTGTATAATTCACTAACTCTATTTAAAAATACATTTTCCACTTTTGAGCTCATAGAAATACCTTCTTAAAGTTTGAGTTCTGTGTCTTGGTTATTTTTCGCACCATTTTGTCATTGTGTTTCAAACCTCTTGTTTCTGTAGAACTTAACTCATTCACTTTCTATGCCATATTATTTTACATTGTGTGTGGTGATATCAAAAAAAGAGTTATCCTTTCTGATGTGGATGGAACTTTCTGGTAGCTATTTTTCTGAATACCAGTGAGTGAGTATTCTCACACATGTATCATGACAGAAATGGGGGGAAGTTTTATATTCTACTAGGAGTGAAGTTATTGGGGTTGTTCGAGTGCCTACTGTTTTTGAGTAGTTACAAAGGGTTTTCTCAAGTGGATGAACCAATTTTCATTCCCATAAGAATTATCTTGAGATCCACAACATCTTCAACACATTTTAATTGACCCTGACAACCTGATGGTTATAAAATATTATCTAAATTACATTCCTCTTATTACAAGGTTGGAAGTCTTGTTACATATTATGGACCATTTATTTTTCCTCTTCTGTGAAATATCTTTTTATGATGTTTCTACTGAGTGACCTAATTCTTCCTTTTTTAGTTCACAGCAGTTCTTTTTATAATTGAAATTGAATAAAAGTAATATCTGTTAGTTATAGGCATTGAAAATATCTTCAATAGGTTTGTGGGTTTTCCTGAAAATCATTTGTAATTTTTTTGGATGAACATAAATGCTTAGTATTAATATACTTGAATTTCTCAATATTTACTTTCATGGTTCAATCCCAATAGGTCCTGATTCTATAACCCATACTTACCTGAAAAAAAGGATTTATAGATTAGCTTGCACTTTTGATGACCCCATTTGGAGTTTAATTTTGACTTTGATGTGAGACAGGAAGCTAAATTCACCTTATGTCCCTGCACTAATTAGTCCATCCACTCATTGTAATCTCACTTTTGCAATAAACAAAACTGTCTACTTATGTCTTGGTTTTTCCCTGAGATCTTCCTTCTGGTCAATGTCTTTTGTATCTATTCCTATCTTAATCATTATCATACCAGTCAGGTAAAATAAATTTTTGTTATGAAAAACAAGCCCCAAATCTTATGGCTACATTATCAAAGGTGCCTGATATCACAGAATGGCTGCTAGTCTAATAATTTGAAATTTACTGCAACAGTATGGATAACCAAGAAGCATAATTTCAACCCATGGTCCATAATGTGAAAAAAGATACTGAAGCTACTGATATTAAATTGGGAAAGGTTGGTACTGAAAATATAAAGAGATAAAATGCCTATTATATTTGACTACATGGAATATATTAGCAACTGCTAAATATTATATACACAAACAGAATCAATGTTCAATAAACCACACATAAAATTAGCCCTTAGTGTTTGCATTTGTAGGGTATATTCACTATATTATCACATGTATTTATACAGGAAATATATCTACCCATACGGAAACTATATTTTTTAGCTTAAATGTAGTATCAGTTTTAATGATGTTGTTGTCAGGAGAGGGTTGCCTTTAAATATAGATTTTTAGAAAGAACGAGGATACAGCAACCAGAGGAAGATCTGCTGAGTGTGTAGAGGACTTGAAATAGATGTGAGCTAAGAAAGGTGCAGAAGATGTCATACAATGGACCTCTCAGGGTGCAATAATCAGCCAAAGTAATGGTTTTTCATCTCCTCAAGGATTTGACCTGCCCTGTGATCACAAGAGAGTAAAGGAGTTTGACTAATGAGGAGCTTTGGATATTGAACCCCCAAGGGACAGAGAGACTACAAATAGTCTGCAGTTGACCATCCTACTCAACAACCATCCCAGGTCATATGCAGCACCCCTGAGCCTAGTCCCAGGGACCATCATGTCTGCACGGGAGCTCAGTGCCTCACCGTCTTTCCGTGCTCCCTGAATGAATACAGAGCTTCCATTTTTCTCTTTCACATCCAGGGAAGAACTGAATGTCATACCTTCATGCTGGCATCCACATAATCTGAAGCCCCCTATTGCACGTTTTGCACATAGGGACAGGTCCTTGTTCAGCAGTCGATCTGGAGGCAGCTGTGAGGTGAGTGCCTGCAGAAGATGAGCAGAGCTAGGTCACCTGGGATTTGCTGCTAGTGGTCCATCATCTCTCCTCAGTCTATTTCCTTTGTACCCTTGCTTGAACATCTCTCATTCTGCTAATATACTCTAATCCTAAAAGTCTAGGGACATTTTTCATCCTCAAGAGTAATCTGCTTGCTTAATTTGAAGAATGTTCTAGAATACTCTTATATAGCCTTTAATTACTTTGTCTAGGGGCAGAGGTGTGCAGCCAGCTTCTGTTTTCCTTTCCATTGCTGGATCTTGATTAATTACTTTCTAGAAGAAAAATTGGTTTTGATGATGCTTCACAATTATGAGTATTCTGAAAAAGAGGTGGTGGGGACTGAGGCAGATTTCAAAACTACACCCCAGACTACCTGCTTGTCTTTAATAATCTATAAAATATCTTAAAGGGCAGAGCACCATAGAACAAATAAGCAAATATCCATTCTTCCAGAATTAGTAAAACTTTTTATTTTGCCATCAGAGTTCTTTTCCTAAAGTAACAAAAAAAATGAATAAATAAAACATCTTTTATGTTCCCCTCCATTCCCAGAAGCAACCATAATCTTGAATTTGGTTGTTTTCCACATATTTAAAATGGTTTTATATATTATGTGTGTGTTTGTGCATAAAAGGTAATAATAAAAACGCCCCTCAATAGGAAAAGGGATAAATAAATTGTAATGTAATACACATAGGAATTAGGTAAGATAAAATTAATGAACCAGAGAAAGATGTACAAAGATGTTAAATGCATTATTTTTAAAAGCAAAATGCAAAATTCCCTGTACAATGTATGTAATGTTTAAATGCAAAACAAGAATATAGTTTATGGATATTTCTTCAATGTATTAAAGTCTCAGGAGAATAATGAATACCAAGTTCAGTATGGCAGTTCCCTTAGGGAAGAAAAGGTGACTGAAGATTGAAAAAATAAGTATGTATTAATTTAATTCTTAAAAATATCAACTGCAAGTATGCCAATCTATTTTAATTTAGTGGTCCTTAGTGGCGGGTCCCTGGGACTTCGTTCTCTGTACTTTTTAATGCTTGAAATGTTTTATAATAAGAATTGAACTTTTACAGCCAATAAATCCAGAGACAAGCTGCTGGGACAAGGAATAGCAACCTTGTTGGGAAAGCCAGCAAACCGAGAAGATGGAGGACTAATGTCCTAAAGAGCCATCTCAACTCAGAATAGAATTCAGACTTCTTTTATGTTAAGGAAAAGGGGAAGTGGGAGGGTTCACAATTAAAGGGTAAAAGGAAAGTGCAGGCTTCTTGGAGCCACCCGGCTTTCAACGGAAGCAGGCACTTCTTTGTTTTTCTGCCTGCTCACGTGGGCTGGATCACAACGCTCCCACAAAAACTTCAAATTGTTAGCAGTTATTTTTACTTTACGATTCTTATCTCTACTTATCAGCAAGGTTTCTAGGCTGAAAGCGAACTTATCTACAAGTAGTAGCCATGAGCAGCCCAGGATGGTGGGATGGAGACCTTCAGGGAACTTAATGAGCTATTTGGGCACAAGCAATATTCTCTAATTTTAACTCTTTATGTGCAGAGCTAACATAATAGAATACATAAGCTGCAGAATGAAAGAGGCAGCTCCAGCAGGATGGTTGTTCTGTTCTTCCTCTGTTACAACAGTAGAGCACTGTGTTACTGGTGCTGTGAGCAGTTCAGAACAATTGTTACATTTATATCAATGACATCTGCTAATACCACTATTAACTACAACATTATAGCACAAACTTCGTGCTAAGAATTCATTAATGAGGCAGAAATGGAAAGGGGGAATTAAAAGGACAGATTTTGATAACCTACTGAAAACGAAGAGGTTGAATTGAGTCAGACTTAAACTCCCAGAGCACTGGGAGAACATGGATGAGTCAGGCCAACATCTCCCTCATTAATTTCCCTGCGTTTGCTCCAGCTTGCGAACAGGTGGGTTTTCTATGCCAACATTCTGTGCGCTGGAAGAGTGCTCTCCAAAGTAAAACCCAGACCAATAACAGTGACATTTGGGGATGTATTAGAAAGGCAAATTTTCAGTGCCATACCCAATCTTCTGAGTCTCATATTAGGAGTGTGGGGCCAACGAGATGGGTTTTGACCAACCCTCCAGCTAATGATGCACAAGAGAGTCTGAGAAACTCTGCTCTAAAGCCAGACTTAATATGCTTGATTTTGGTTTTCCTGCTTGTTCACTGGTTTGAAACTTTGGAGAATTCTCAAGGAATAAGCCACGTGTCATATCCTATTTTATTCCTATTAGTTGGCACAGCGTGGGAAAGAATGAATTCGTCTTGAGTTATTAGGTAGTGTAGAGGAGAGAAGGACAGAAAGAAAAGAAGTTGAGGACAGTGAGAAAGGGGCAGAAGGCAAAGGAAGAAGATGAGTAATATTTACTTCAATTTTCAATAGAGATGTCACCGTTTTCTAAAATAAGGGATTCTTGTACATCTGTCATGTGTCCTATCACATGTATTCTCCCATCAGACTCACCCACAACATGGAATCGGAAAACCAAACAGATGAGGCAGAATTCCTCCTCCTGGGTCTCTCGGAGGACCCAGAACTGCAGCTCCTCCTCTTTGGTCTGTTCCTGACCATGTACCTGGTCACCGTGCTCGGGAACCTGCTCATCATCCTGGCCGTCAGCTCTGACCCCCACCTCCACACCCCCATGTACTTCTTCCTCTCCCACCTGTCCTTCACTGACATCTGTTTCAGCACCACCACAGTCCTCAAGATGCTTGTGAACATTGAAAGACGGAGCAAATCCATCAGTTACACAGGCTGCCTCACCCAGGTTTGTTTTGTCCTGTTTTTTGCAGGCCTGGAAAACTTTCTCCTTGCAGCAATGGCTTACGACCGCTATGTGGCCATCTACCCGCTGAGATACACAGTCGTCATGAACCCCCGCCTCTGTGTTCTGCTGGTTCTGCTCTCCCTGGTCACGAGCATCGCAGACGCCCTGCTCCACAGTCTGATGCTGTTGCGACTGTCCTTCTGCGCAGACCTGGAAATCCCCCACTTCTTCTGCGAACTTGCTCAGGTCATCAAGCTGGCGTGCTCCGACACCCTCCTCAACAACGTCCTGGTGTACTCCGTGACCAGCATATTGGGTGGTGTCCCCCTCTTTGGGATTATCTTCTCTTACGCTCAGATTGTCTCCTCCATTCTGAGAATGCCGTCAGCTGCAGGGAAATATAAAGCCTTTTCTACCTGTGGATCTCATTTCTCGGTTGTCTCCTTGTTCTATGGGACAGCGTTTGGGGTGTACATCAGTTCTGCAGTCACACACTCTTCCAAGAAGTCTGCAGTGGCCTCAGTGATGTACACGGTGGCCCCTCCGATGTTGAACCCCTTTATCTACAGCCTGAGGAACAGGGACGTGAAGCGAGCCCTGAGGAAACTTACCTGAGGGATCTCCTTTTTGTGACTGTGTCGCCGACCTTGTACTTGGGCTTTGAGAGTGAGTCAACGTACAGGGACAGTGGGTTAGTCAGGAGGCCGGACTCCGCTCCCACCAAGGCCGTATGCTGCAGTGACACAGCACCGAAATAACTGAAGTTGTTCAATTTAGGTTTGAAAGCTGACGTTGGTCTTGAGGGTTTTAAAAATTGATGGGAACTTTTTGATGACTTTTTTTTTTTGGTCAGGTTCCACTGAATTAGAACCTGAGTAAGGGATTCTTTCTATAATGATTTTGAGGGGCATGTCCTTAGGAGAATGTTAGTGACAGAAAGAGGACAGGGGAGGAGAAGGAGTTAAACAAGGATGTTAGAGCTGAAGACTAGCTTCAGCTTAGAATATACACAGAAGAATATATACATATGTTCACAGAATATATATATATATTCATATATTTATAGAATATACATAGGAGAATACACACACACACACACACACACACACACACACACACACACATTAGAATACATACAGAAGACTAGCCTCAGCTTAGAATTGGGTGCTCTTGCCACATCAGAAACAGGTAATTATTTGAGGAGATGGATATGAAAATTATTCTGACTGCAGTAATGATTTCACTAAGTATGTATATCAAATCATCATGTTGAACAGCTTAAATAAATACATACATATTTTTTAAGAGAGATAGAGAGGAAAGCATTGCATTCTCTTGGTCTCTCAGATACCCTGAATCAGCCAACATGAATTTGGGAAAAGGAAGGAATTTATCAAATCAAGGTAATTTTGTTGGTTGTTTCAAAAGCCTTCTGGCTTGTGGTATCTACCTGTTTATTTTTGTTTTGTTGCCGTTGCTTTTGGTGTCAAGTCCAAATATTCATTGCCAAGACCAATGTCAAAGAGCTTAAACCCTATGTTTTCTTCAAGAGTTTTACATTTCAGATCTTATGTTAAAGTCTATAACCTAGTCTGAGTTGGCTTCTGTGAGTGGCATAATATA